ATGGACTATAACAGTTCAAATAGAATCATTTACAGCTTATTGAGTAAATAAAAGTGCTTCCATAAAGATTCACATGACACCTAGCTTTTATTCCAGGTAACTAATTCCTTTTTGAAAGATTGCCTAAATTTAGATTTACATAAGAGACTACCTGAACACCTTAACAGTTTAAAAAGTAGTTTAAATGACCATAGACTTTACAGATTTAAAACATAGGATATGGCGGTGAATATTAACTTTTAATGGTCTCTGACAAAAAGTTATTTAACTGTATTTTGCTCTCTATGTCACATTAAAAAAGCATTATGAACTATTTCTGGATGCTATTTATAACAAGGAAAATAATTAATATTTACTTGTTATTTTAACATCATATTCTCAAATAAAACTTTTACCACAATTTTTGCTGGCTTCTTTTTATGCTAAGTGACTTAAAATCAGATTTTATCCCATTTCATGAACAAAATTTATTTTCTAGCAGAACAGCAGATTATCCTAGTAGCAAAAAGAATAATTTGTTTTCATTACACAAAAGTGAGCCTGTGTATTTGCTGGAGGGTATGTCTTTTGGTGATAAAATTCTTAAAGGAAATTTCTCCCTCTTTCTCTCTTCCCTTCTCAGCTATGGGTTTTAGGTTATTTTCCGTGTTTAGAACATAAGATCAGAAGATAATGTGTAAAAACTAAAACTAATTTGAAATATTAGAAAAATACTCAACACCCATTTCAAGGTTATTTAGGAACCAAAAAACACTTAGATGAAAGGGTACTTTCACACACATAGTAGAAAATAGGCATATTAAAAAGGATGGGAAAAGGCAAACAAGGGATCCTTTTGTAGAGTGCCAATATTACGGAAAATGTCAAAGTTAGTAGAGATCATTCCTAAAAGATGCCTTCCTTATTTATAATACGTCACAAAAACAAAGAGGAAACTTCAAAGACAGCGCGTAGGTGGAGGATATTATACTGTCTCTAACACTGGCAAAATAGGAATGTGAGTCAGTTTGGTACAGTTACTCTCTCTAATCTAGAACATCAGGAAGAAAATGTCCGTTGGGGGACGTCTGACTTTCCTCATTTGATTCTGCACACCCTCCCTTTCCACATATAGGTTTCTTAGACCAGAACTTAAAGAACTAGAAACGTCCTAAAAACAAAAAAATGAAAGCAGAATTACCTTGTGATCTAGCAACCCCACTTCTGGGTATGTACCGGAAGATCTGAAATCAGTATGTTGAAGATATGCTTCATTCTTATCTTAACATTTGATAGTATCAGTCCATCACTGGGTGAATGGACTATCACTGTGTACATCACTGGATGAATGGACAAAACAATGTGGAATATAAACACAATGGCATACTCTTCAGCCTTAAAAGAGAAAGAAATTCTGTCCTTTGTTACAACGTTGGTAAAGTTGGAGATTATACCAAACATTGGACAAATGTTGTGTGTTCTCAAAGTGAAGCCTAAAACAAATTCATAGAAGCAGAATGAACAAGTGTGTTTGGCAAACGCTTGCTGTGAGGGGACAGAGAGCTGCTAATTAAAGGGTACAAAGACTCAGCCAGACAGGAGGAACAAGTGTGTGTGGTGGACTGACAACTGGTGGTCAATTTGGAACCATCCGAAGATGAACTGAGGATAAACTGAATCAGTGTGGAGGGCCCACCTGAGGATTGCTGCCAACGGCCTAAAAAAGAGAACTGGAGAGGAGAAGGTGTGCTGTCGATTCTCTTGGAGGAGCTTATCATGCTGCTTTTCCTGATATGAACTCAGCTGTTCTCATAATCGGAGGAGCTCTAGACCTCACTGTCGCTGAGGATGGCTGCAGTTCTTTTTGGGGGAGCTCTCCTTGCTTTGAGCATCACTTCCTGGCTCCAGTGCAGATCCCTCACCCTGCTGGCACAGATCCTTCATTTCCCTGTTGCAGACTTTCTAGCTTCCACCACTGACCTTTGAGCCTTTTCAGTGCAGATCCTTGAAACAGACTAGCATGAGACATTGCCATGGGTTCTTGGCCTCCGGGTGGACTCATGGGGTGGGGGCACTGTCATGGTCTCTAGGTTTTCAGCTGGACTTGTGAAGAACATTGCCATGGGTCCAAGCCCTCAGCTGGGTTCTTTGGGTCTCTAGTGTGTGGACAGATCTCCTGTACTCTTTCGCATTTGACTCTTTGGGTGAATATTATAAAAGAATCCTATAAATTATGTGTCCTGTATTAATTTGTCTCCCTTGCAAACCCTGACTACAATAGTACGTTTGTTTTTTTAACAAAATCTATTGTGCAGTGTGGTGAATATAAAATATCATTAATAGAACAAATCTCAAATATTCTCATCACAAAAGGTCAAGTAGTTGAGGTGATGAATTTATTACCTTGGTTTAATCATTTCATGTTGTGGTGAATTGATACCTGGTGGTCAGCTTATAACCCCCAGCTGAACTGAGTGAGCATGGTGCTGGGTGTGGGAGGCCCGCCTGAGGACTGCTGCCAACAGCATAAAGGCAGACCTGGAGAAGAAGAAGCAGGCTGTTGGGAGCTGAGGGAGGCTGTGGGAAGCTGGCTTTCCTGATGAACTTGGCTGTTTTCATCCTCCGAGGAGCTCGGGACCTCACTGGCACTGAGAATGGCTTCAGTTCACTTTCAAGAGCTCTGGTCCTCACTTTGAGCATCGCTTCCTGGTTCCGGAGGGGGAAAAGCTTGCTGTGTTGGCTTGCCTGATGGGAACTCGGCCATCCTGATCATCGGAGGAGCTCGGGACCTCACTGTTGCTGAGGGTGGCTGTGGTACCTTTTGGGGGAGCTCTGGTTCTTCTGAGCATCACTTCCTGGCTCCAGTGCAGATCCCTCAGCCTGCTAGCACAGGTCCTTTATCCTACTGGCACAGACTTTGTAGATTCCACCGCTGACCTTTGGGCCTTCCCAGCAGACACATGAAACAGGTCTGCATGAGATGTGTCATGGGCTCTGGGCCTCCAGTTGGATTCATGGGAGGCATTATTATGAGCTCTGGGTATTCAGCTCAACTCATGTAGGACATTGTTGTGGGATCCAGGCCTTCAGCTGGATTCCTTGGTCTTAGTGTGTGGACAGATTCCCTGCACTCTTGTATACTGTTCTTTGGGTGACTATTGTAAATGATCATATAAAGTATGATATGTGTGACACCAACACAGATGTTACATTTAAAAATACAATGCACTTTGAATGCCCCATAAATACATACTATAACTTGACAGTATTAAAATTATAAAACAAACCTTTGAAGCCTTGCCCAATAGCATTATTTTATTATAGTCAAATGCTGTTGTTACACTAAGTTTCATTAAGAAGACAGTCAGGCTGGACCATGTCCTGCTCTTCCCGCTTCTCCTTTATCCCCAGGTCTGGCAGAATAAGAAGTTAGAAGATGGCAGTGTAGTATTGATAGCGGCAAAGCTGATAGGCTATAATGCTGCCAGTTTAGATTCACAGCTGGAAAAACACCAGAAAAGCTGTTTTAATAGCAACACACATACAGGAGTTTATGCCTGCAGCCCCTGGTGAATGGAGCACCTTTTTCAGGGTCTGAACATGCTTGGGCCTACTATTAAAAGGTTCTGCAAGTGAAAGCTCGTCAGTGCTGCTAAAGGGGGTCATTACATGGTTTTAGGAAGTTCTTTTCCTTCAGTGGGGATGAGATAAACCTTGTCCTTCATAGAGCTATGCAAGTGGCCATTTTAGGTTGGTTTTTTTTTTAAATTCCAGCATAAAAAGAGATGATTTCCGTCAGCTATAGGCTTGCAGTGGAATATCAAGAAATCAAAAGAACAGAGATCAAAGAAAATTGCTGAACTAGGTGTTAGATGCAGACATTGATTTTCCTCCAGTTGTAGTTTTAAAAAAAATCTACAAAAATGGTAACATATACAACCGTTGAATTTCTAATACTTCCCTCAAGCCAGCAATAGCTTCTTTCTTGTTTCTACATGTAGAAGCAGTTTTGTATGACATGATGTAATAAAGCAGACCCTTATACTATCCATTATTTTCTTATCAAAACTATAAGACAGTCTACCAGAAAGGTGTTTTCTTAACTCTATTGTACAGAATGTGATTTTTAGAGAGGTGATACTTGTGACTAAACTTGATATCATCCAACATTTATTTCCTGGGAAATTGGAAAATTCTAACATAAAACTGATCACTGTTTTTCTATTATCTTTAAATGTTATAAAATAATATTTATCTGCTTTACTGCTAAGACTTCACTCAAATTAAATTAATACTACTGATTGCCAACATTACTTAAGGCTTAAATGCATAGCTCTATCAAAATGCCAGTTTTGTTTTCAAGTACTTCATGTACCTGTGATATTTCAGTCTAGGTACCAGCAATGCTGTAAAATCTGTGGGATTGTTTTTCATGTTATGCTCCCTTATTTTGATAACAATTTCCAAGTACGTGTACTTAGAACAGTCCTTATCAAAGCAGGATGGTAGAATTACTAGATGTAAAGGCAAAAAGCTCTTCTCACTAGAATTTTATATCTCAGGGTATTATTTTCTAGAAGTCACTGGGATTGTCTTACATTTCTTTGTGCTGTATTTGTCAATTGAATAAATCCTACTGGTAGGCTTAGAAACATAGCTATCCATAGTTCATTTTCTAAGCAGTCTAATCTTCCATATTACATAGCACATGCTATAAACATAATGAAATAAACACTGTTAGCATTGATTTCTGTAAATTGCAGTGAATTAAAGCTGAGTATACTGACTCTTTGAAATGCTAATATTATACTAAGTTTTAGTGTTTCTCCTGTTTTTTCTGAAAAGTTTTTGTCATAGGACAACCAGCCACTTAGAAAATAGTTACATATTATCAGATAGGTTATTTAGATGTCAGTTTCTGTCCCACCTAATATAGTAATGATTACTAGTCTACTTCCTTGTTTTTAGTTCTGTTTGAGAGTTTTCAATTCAGTGTGTTTTTTTCCTTTTGTGTGTCACAGACAGGATCGAGGGACCACTCAAATCTCTCCGTTCCTTCAAGAGCTGCTCTCCCCGCTGACACAATCGGTGTGGGGAGTTTTTTGCCTTTGCAAGCTGAACTTGATACAACCTATGCGTTCTTAAAGGAGACGTTCATAAAAACTGCACCCCATTCCCTAGCATCATCTCACGCCTCTCCAGCAAGCACGTCTGCTAACGCCAAAGGACCAGCGCAGATTGGATTATGACTTTATGAAACAAAAGTGGAGGAACAGTTAACAGTACAATTAAAATTGTTTGAAGGGGGATTTTCTTATCAGTTGAATTTTGTTTCAGCACAAGTGGGAGTGGATTTTTGAAAATATTGTACAATATCTTGATATGTGCAGGTATCTGTCTCAAATAAGAAAATAACCCACTTTTTCTCTCTAAGTTTTATTTATTATCACAGTTCCTCATTTTTATGTAACATATTTTTAAATGTTAAAGAATGACACATTTTGGGTAATTTCCCTCGGACTTAAAAAAATCAATAAGCCATTTTAGTCTCTATCTATCAAAGTTGTTTCATACTTGTCTGTTGTAAAGCAGGACTGCAGTACTTTAATAGGATTGAGAGAGCTATTTGAAATGTATGCCAATGATTCCTGTCATTTCATGGCAGCCCTGCCATGGTTCACTGAGCCCCTCTTCTCTCTTGTCAGCTCGACGGAAGACAAGCATTTAGTTGCAAACTTTAAGCAGGTTGTGCAAAACAGAAATGATGTGACTGCTTCTCCTCCTGCACAATAATGTCACTCCTGGTCAATGTGAGAAGGTCAGGTTGCTCCTTGTAAAGCTACATGATACCACTTGCCCATTTGAACAAGTTAAGTTAACTGCTGAATCTGGTCCCTGCAGGCATTGAAAACTCATCCTTTTATCAAGTCTGCGTGTGATAAGAAAGTAGAGCAATTGTACTGGGGGAATTTCTGTGGTATGTTTAGGCACTTTATAAGGACAGTTCCCACACTAGTAGAGCAGGTAATCTATTTAGTACAAACTAAAAAAATTCCAGGTAATGACCGTTTTGACCTTCAAAATAGACTCCGTTTTTGTTTTTGTTGTTGGTAGGACCCAAGAGTGACGCCCATCTTAGATGCTGACAGAATTTAAAACAAGGCCATTGCCCTGCATTTTCTGCCTTGTAGCACACAGAAGTAAAATTGTATGTCAGGGCGAGATGTCGGGGAGCTGACAAGATGCCCCAGTGACATTTCAGCTAGAAAGAGCAAGTGTCTTGCAACCAAGCGGTCAAATATCAAATAATAGGTCAAGCAGGAAGGAGCTGAGTTCTAACCACAAAGAGGTTTCTGGTAACTTACTTGACAAGCTTTTGGGCGCTTTGTGGCTTGACAAAGTGATGTTCTGTTGGGTATCGCTAGACAGACTGTTCTTTATCGCCTTCAGAAGATCAGACGTTGACATGGATTAAACTCTTTAACCCTTAAAGGTTAAATCCTTGCAGTTTGCATCCTGGTGAGTGAAGAACAAAGGAATATTTGTAATATGCATTTATATTTGTAATATGCATTTATATTTGTTTTAATCACTTAACTCCCCAGTGATAGTAACTTCTGATGTGAACTGTAGTTTTTGACAAAGCATTTTGTTACAAAATCTACATTTTATACTATTTTTCACTATGGAGTTTTTCCATTGTGGATACATTAAAGATAGCAATATATGTTATGGAATCCATATTGTTTATGGTGACATTTGACTCAGATATATCCAACTTCTGAGAATTTCTTATTGGCCTTAAGAAATGAAATCTGTACACTATTTATGGTGTTAGTCACATTACCCAAATGACGGATGCTGTCTGAGTAAGCATATTACTGTCATACTGTGTAACACAATATTATACGTTAGGCTGCTGAGCCAATACAATTTTTGTGTGAAACTTTTTGTATGACATAAAATTCTGTTTTTAACAAAACTCTCTTAATTCTTTCCTTGGAATTCTTTTTAATATGCCTCATATAATGTAATCTGTATGAAACTCAACTTTATTATAGTACAGAGTGTGCATTGATTGTTTTTGTATAGATCATAGAATAATTTCTACACATTCTTCTGTCATTCATACAGTGATTAGAATATTCTCCATATGAAATCAGTATGTAGTTTTTTAGTTCTTATGTGATCATTGAGAGTCCATTCTGGCATTATAGAAAAGTGTTACCCTGTGTAACTTACATGTCTGTGTTTGTGTATGTATGTTTATATTGAATCTGTTTCCAGGTTCTGCTAATTTAAGAGGAATAAGCACCTTTGTGAAATGTGCCTTGGAAAGGCTTTGGTCTGTTTGCCTTAATTTTACAGTCTGTTACTGGGATAACTATAAAAATAAATGTATGTGTCTCTCCATATATGTGGGTTTCTGATCTTACTGATAGATTTTACACAGCAAATTCTGAACTGTAAATTCAAAAAGATTATTAAATCAAATTGAAGCATGTCACATTTATAAGCAGCTAGATGTTAAAGGCCGTAGGAACTGAAGGATGAGCCTCCCGAGCAATCATTAGTATTCACTACCAAATATAGTAATATTTATACCATATGCTTTTTCCCCAGAAGTCAGACCCAGCAGGAGGAGAAGATTTAATGACATATCCTATGGAGATCTGAGAAACTCTAGACTGCGTCTGAGCACCTTAGTGACCAATTGCTGCATATTTGAGATCTGTGTTGCACTGGCAAGGACAGTTGCTCTATCAGCTTCTTTAACTCCTTACGAGTGATGTATAGACGATACATTTCTCCAGAGAATTACTTCAGATATTTTTGTAGGGGAAAGGAAGTTTTACTTTACACCTGAGCGTGTAGATTTTCTTACTAACCTTCTGTGATCTAGAAAAATGCCTATATCACCCATCACTGTCAAAGGGATTCTTAAAGTTATTGTTCTGATTCCTAAGTTACATTTATTTATTGAGGGTTTGCCAGTATTTTTAATGTAACTGTTTTAGAATGACATAATACAAATGCACAAAGATTTAGGAAATTGCAGGAATTGCTAATTCAATAATAATTTAATGACACAGGTTAAAAAAAAACCCTTTTACATAATAGAATGATCACTTTACCATTTTTACCAAATGTCTGATTCTTATTAAACATAGGCACTCTATTTCTTATGTCACATTTATAATATAAGCTACTATTGAATGTTTAATGATATCATTACTGTTTTCATGTTACTTTACTAGTTACATCTGAATTCATTCTGTAAATCATACTGAACAATAGTAAATTGATTCTGTTTCATTCTGCATGTTTTATAGATATGATTTCTAATGTAGAAGTTAGAAGGTGGTTAATATTTATTCAGCAATTACTATATTCCAGCTGTTATAGCAAAACTCTAATGTTCTCACAACAAGTATCTGGGAAAGGAATTTGTATCACCATTTTATAGATGAATAACTGAGAAGCTAAGATATTAAGTATTTTACTACCTAAGATCACATATGAGCTCTAAAGTGTCACTCCAAAGCCTACATTACTTTGGCAAGTCTGCCTTCCAGAAATAATATTTTTTTAGAGAAGAGAAGAATTAAAAGAAAATAATTATCCTGACTAGTTAGTAATAATTTGGAGAAGTTTTGGGTTACAATCTAGATTTCCTATCCATTGACTAGACACAATAAAATGTATGCGTGTTAATAGTGTATATGTAACTGCCGGCTGAAGGAACAGGTAAGTTTATGTCTGTCTTTAAGAGGAGTCAAAGTACTCACTGTGTTACCCAGGGTCTCTGGCTTGGCCTGAGAGACCGCATAGGTACTGTTAGAAACAGACCTCATGGAATCTACTGATGGCCAGCCAAACGCACCAAGTTACTGCTTCCATTAAAATGGAAAGTAATGACATACGCTATGTGTAGCTAATCCAGGCAAGATTTATGTATAACTGTAGGAAAAATTTGTAAAACATATTTTTCTGGACCAGTGTGGTAGACTGAATAATGGCCTCCAAAGATACCTGTATTCTAGTCTCTGGAAGCCATGAATGTTCCCTTATATGGCAAAAGGGTGGGGGCATTCTCCTGGATTGCCTGGGTGGGCCCAAAATGCAATGAAAGGTACCATTTTAAGAGAGGAAGGTGGATTGGTTTGATTGCAGAGGAGAAGGTGGGATGGTGGAGCAGAGACTGGAGGGCTGTGCTTTGGGGTCTGGTCTGAGGAATCCAGACAGCAGGGAGAAGCTGAAAAAGGCAAGGCACCGGGTCCTTCTCTCCGAGGTTCCAGAACTTTCAGAGGATAAATTCGTGCTGTTAAGCCTCATGTTTGTGGTAGTTCATTACAGCAGCCATAGGAAATGAATACAGCCAGTAAATGTTTCGTGTTTTTTGAAAACGATTACTAAGCTTAAGATATGAACAAACAGTAAAATTGTTCCTACTTAAAAATTAATCCTGATCACTTATTTTTATAACTTGAATTTCCAGATTTGTTTTTAGGTATCAGTTTTATGTGCTTGACCTTTCAGTTTAATAAGCAGTGGCTTTCCCTCCTGTGCCTGCGTTAGTCACACTCTCATTGTCATTTTTCATTATTCTTCAATTAATCTATTATTTCAAAGGCATTTTAATTTCTATATTTTTAAAATGGTATCACAGCCAGGCGTGGTGGCGCACACCTGTAATCCCAGCACGTGGGAGGCTGAGGCAGGAAGATCATTGCGAGTTTGAAGCCAGCCTGGGCTACAAAGTGAGCTCCTGGCCAGCCTGAACTGCATAGCGAGACCCTGTCTCAAAAAGAAAAAAAAAAAAAAAAAAAAGTAAAAAAGGTATCACATTTCCAGTGTATCCAATGTATCTTAAAAATCTACTTTAAATGATTGTTTTTATTTGATTCAATTTTATTGGCATTTTAAAAATAATTTTATTATGAAAGAATTCAACATTGAAAGAAGCAGGTGCTAATCATATCTTCAAATAATGATTTGGAATTTAAAAATCTTAAATGTGCCAGAACATTTTTTTTATTATTTGACCACGGGTTTGACTTATCCTTGGTACCCATTTTTTGTTACAACCAAAGTGAAAGAATTTTAATAATTTTCCTCAACAATGAAATCTAATTTTTTTTATTATTTAATATTTGAATCCATTTCATTTTACTTTGGTTTAGTAAGAGAAATGAGGCCAATTTTAACTGAACTGTGTTTAATATTATCAAACCTAAAATACTGAAGATCTAAGCCTAGAGTGATAAATATTTCGAGTACAGCCAAAAAGAACATTAAAGAAAAAGGTAAGCCTCTGGTTGTGTAAGGAACACATCTAGTCCTGGTTACGTGAGACATAAGTATGTAAATTTACCTGTTGTTTGAATTCTGTTTTTTTTTTTTTTTTCTTGAACCTTGACAATTTTATTGTAAGATTCTTTCTGGCTGTGGAATGCATTGATTGGCATACCCACGTATCAGACATCCTTCGGGTTCATACTGTGAGTGCTTAGTGCATTTCTTGTTTCTGGACCACTCCTTGTATAATCTTTCTTTTTAGTTGTTTCCTAAACAGATCTGACTCTGAAAGTCTCCCAAACTGTATCTTGTATGCAAATACTTTGACAACACAATGAGAAAATTTTCTCTTCATCATTGGTACCTAATTGCTATTGCATTAGCTGTAAAATATCTGGACACAGTAGAGAAAGGTAAATCAGAGTTTTGCTCTTTCCTCTAAATCATCTTGTGTGTAGCTATGTTAGGTGCTTAGGCATCTGTTTTGAAGGCACTGACCTTGTGTCATGCGGCAGAATCCCCCATGAGACTTTGAAAACTACTGGTTTATATTGTCTGAAGACGTCTTTTTGTGATTTAATTGAGTCATGCTTCAGTGTCTTTTATTGCATGTTAATGCCAGTGAAATGCTGATTGTTGAGAGTCTTCCTAGTGAAGCAGTCCCAGAAATGTTGTGCTGCTGTAGGAAACTACGTAAAATAAAGCCTCATTTAGGTCTGAAGGAGACTCATCTGACAGGTAAGGGGCTATCAGATATTCATAAATATTCACTAATGACAAGAATGTAAGGTGAGCTATCTGTCTGCAAACGATTGCTTCTATGTTTTGGGTATCAACATAAAGGAAGCATCTTAACTGCAGCCCAGAGTGAATGGGATTGTGTTAGGTGCCAGTAAAAAGAACCACAAAAGAAATAAATGGAGGATACATAATAGACATCTTACTTTTGTCTTGTTTCTTCTTCTAGCAATAAGCAAAACGTGGTATACTTTTTTTACGCTTACTTCTGGTCTAAAAGTAAGAGGCCTCCCCGGTAAAACTGCACAAGGAAAACTGGAACGTGGACACTCCCCGAGGGTACCACATACAGCACAGTTTACATGACTGGTGCACAACGTGTAGGGATCCACAGAGTTGTGCCGACACGTGGACACTGTGATCCACTTCAAAGTCATTTAACAGTATATTGGGCTTTTTATTTCTTTAATCTGTGGGGAAGCGGAATCCCTGTCCTCCCTAAGAGATACTCCTGAGGAAGTCCAGCACAGCCTTTGCTGCTTATCAAGTTAATCAGAGTAGAAACCCTGTTTTATTTTAAATGACTTTTACAGCTGCAGTCACCCCCTGACTAGGGTTATGCACTTTGCAACAGTTCAGAGGTGAGACACCTAGATTAGTGAATAGATTTAGATCTAATCTACACCTAGATTAGATTAGATTTTTTGTGTGTGTGGTACTGGGATGGACCCAGGACCTTTGTACTGAGCTACATTCTCAGACCTGTTTATTTTTATTTATTTGGTTTTTTGTTTCGTTTTGTTTTGTTTTTTGGTACCGCTGATTGAACTCAGGACCTTGCAGTTGCCAGGCAGGTGCTTGTGCCACTGAGCTATATCCCCAGCCCATGAATAGATTTTTTAAAAAACTGACAGCCTTATTGAGATATAATTCCCATAACATATAATTTGCCCCTTTAAAGTGCATAATCCATAGTTTTTAGAATATTTGCAAGAATGTATAACCAGTGCCTCTTAATTTCAACATTTTATTCACACCAGAGAGAATCTCTGTACCCACTGACACCCACCTTTCATTCTCTGTTATCTCAGCTCCTGGTGACCATAATCTACTTCCTATTTCTGTGGATTTGTGTACTGTGTGTGTTTCATACATATGGAATCCTATATATTGCCTTTTATATCTGGCCTCTTGCACTGAGCACGATGTGTATTCACTTTGTGAAGTTTGTTCGTGTTGTAGCATCATCAGTGCTTCCTTGTGCTGTTATTCCGCTGTGTGGAGATGGACATTTTGTTTACCCACCCACTGACGGCATTCAGTTGTTTCTATTTTGGAAGGAGGTTATGAAGAATAATCATATGAACGTTCATGTACA